GGATGTGTGATCCCCCAAGTGCAGGTCTGGGAGATTTGGGGTCACCCTGTGTCAGAGTGAATGTGTGATCCCCCAGGTGCAGGTCTGGGAGATTGGGGGTCACCCTGGGTCAGAGTGGATGTGTGACCCTCCAGGTGCAGGGTCTGGGAGATTTGGGGTCACCCTAGGTCAGAGTGGAGGTGTCACCACCCCCAGGTGCAGGTCTGAGAGATTGGGGGTCACCCTGTGTCAGAGTGGATGTGTGACCCTCCAGGTGCAGGGTCTGGGAGATTTGGGGTCACCCTAGGTCAGAGTGGACATGTCACCCCCCCAGGTGCAGGTCTGGGAGATTGGGGGTCATCCTGGGTCAGAGTAGATGTGTCACCCCCCCAAGTGTAAGTCTAGGAGATTGAGGGTCAGTCTGTGTCAGAGTGGATGTGTGACCCCCCCCTAGGTGCAGGGTCTGGGATATTGGGGGTCACCCTGTGTTTGGATGAGTGCCTGTCCCCCCCCCCAGGTGCAGGTCTGGGAGATTGGGGGTCAGCCTGTGTCAGAGTGGACGTGTGACCCCCCCCCCCAGGTGCAGGTCTGGGAGATTGAGGGCCACCCTAGGTCAGAGTTGACGTGTCATCTCCCCAGGTGCAGATCTGGGATATTGGGGGTCACCCTGTGTTTGGATGTGTGCATGTCCCCCGCAGGTGCAGGCCTGGGAGATTGGGGGTCAGCCTGGGTCAGAGTGGACCTGTCACCCCCCCCCAAGTGCAGGCCCAGCGTGGGGTCATGTGACCCAGAGTCCCTTGTGCAGGAGCAGAGCTCCATGTTGTGATGGTGGGATGGGCCCAGACCCAGTACAGCGTCTGAGCCCCTCTTCCCTTGTTCTGTGTTGAACACAGCAGAATGACTTTTACCCCATCGTGGGGCCGGGGCCCTTCTGGAAAAGGTTTCGGGTGAACTTCTGTGAGTTCACAGAGCTGCTGGTGCACCAGACGCACTCTTCGGTGCTGTGTGACGGACACCTCATGCACACAGTGATCTGCATGCTCAGTGGCCTCACCAACTCCGCCGTGTACAGCCTGCGGCACACCAGCTCCCTGGCAGGTGACACGCTGCACACGGCCGTGCCCGGGCTCCTGCTGGCTAGGGGGCAGGGAGGGGCTGCGGGTCCGGGGCCACGGAGCCACAGGACATGGAGGGCAGGGGCCCGAGGACATGGGGGCAGGGGCCATGGGACCAGGGGCAGGGAGGGGCCATGGGGGAAGGGGCCACGGGGGCAGGGGCCACGGGACACGAACACAGATGTGTTCTCGGGTCCGTGTACATGCTCATCCCGGACGGGCGACTGTATATACCCATTCTTGTGACCCAGCAAGGAGCAGGACGCGGCAGGCCCTCCAGCCACCCCGACCTCCCAGCCCCTTTCACCCCCAGACCCTCTCTGAGTACCTGGCAGAACGGTCGCTCCTGTGGGAGGTGGAGCCCAGCACTGGGGTCACGGCCCTGGGGTCCCAACCCCAGGGTCACGGCCCGCTCTGCTGGCAGCCATGAAGCTGCTGACGGCGCTGGCCAGCGTGAACCAGGGCATCTGCACGGGCAGGCGCACGGCCCAGCGGCTATATGAGATCGAGAGCATCACAAAGCTCAAGGGCAGACACAAGTACTACATGGAGCTGTTGGACCAGCGCAGACACCAGGTGCCAACGGGCCGGCTGGGGTCACCACGGGCGGGAAGGAGGGTGCACCGGAGATAGGGGGACGCGGGGGTGAGGACGTACTGTGCGCGGGGGAGGGAGGGTCCCAGACGGAGGAGGGACACGAGTACTGCATGGAGCTGTTGGACCAGCGCAGACACCAGGTGCGGGACCGAGCGGCTGGGGTCACCGTGGGGGGGGAGGGGGTGCATCGGAGATGGGGCTACGCAGGGGTGAGGACGTACTGTGCGCGGGGGAGGGAGGGTGCACTGGAGATGGGGGGACGCAGGGGTGAGGCTGTCACTGTGTGCAGGGGGGAGGGAGGGTCCACCCTGGAGAGGAGGCAGGGGACCCAGGTGTGAGGATAGCACCTGGTGCAGAGAGGCAGGGAGCCTACCTGGGAGCCTGGGCCTGGCCCGCCCCCTTGGCTCCAGGCCTCCCCCGGCCCCGCCCCTCGGCCCCCAGGCCCCGCCCCTCGGCCCCCCAGGCCCTGCCCCCGCCCGGGCTGCCGCACGGCGTGTATGGGTTCCCGCTCCGTCAGCGGGGCGGCTGTGGCCATGTGCAGTAGCGCCTGGTCCCCCAGGCCTTGTGACCGTTCTCCGGGGTTAGGGTCTCCCCACAACACGGCAGCAGGCGGCGGCGCGGAAAGCACAGCGTGGGCCCCCCAGTCGCTCCACATCCCGGCTCCAGATTCCAGCTGGCCTCCCTGGGGGAGGGTGTCCTCTGGGGACACGCAGGTGGATCTCCACGCCCCTGGCTCAGTTACAGTTCTGTCCTTTGTGGGTTCAGTATGTTCAAACTGCGATTCCTGCGTCCTCTGTGTCCCCCCCCGGCTTGTGTCCCCCCCACACCCCGCGGCTTTTGTCCCCCCCACCCGCGCCTTCTGTGTCCCCCCGCGGCTTGTGTCCCCCCCCACAGCTTCTGTGCCCCCCACACCCTGCAGCTTGTGCCCCCCCCACCCGCGCCTTCTGTGTCCCCCCTGCGCCCTCTGTGTCCCCTCCCGCGTCCTCTGATGCGCCACGCGCACCTCTGCGCACACAGGAGGTCACGTCTTTGGGGGGCACCTACAGTTCCGGGGCTGCAGCAGCCCTTCCAGAAACACAGCGGTGCACACGGGGTAGGGTTCCCCTGCGCTGGAGCAGTCCTCCACCCCACCCTGCGCCCCGCCCACTCACCGCCTGCACCCCTTCACCTCCGCCCCCCGCCCTGTCACCCCTTCACCCCTGCCTCCTACCCTCACCCTGTTACCCCTTCACCTCCTGCCCCTCACCCTGCATGCCTCCATCCCGTCCCCCCTCATCCCAGCACCCCTTCACCCCTGCCCTGAGCCCCACCAATCCCTTTGTCCCCACCCCCACCGCGCAGCCCCCTCCCATCCTCACCCTGTGCCCCGCCACCCCCACCCCTCACCCCCTAATCCTGTGCCCCGCCACCCCCACCCCTCACCTTGTCATCACCCCTCTGCTCCTGCCCCACTCCCTTCATCCCATCAGCTCTCCACCCTCACCCCATCCCCCTGTACACCTTCACCCCCCGCTCCTCACCCCATCACCCCCACCCCTTCACCCCTTCACCCCCAGCACTCATCCTGTCACCTCCAGCCCTCAGCCCATGCCATCTTCACGCCTGCCCCTCAGCCCATTGCCCCACACCCGTCACGCCGTCACCCTGCCGCCACCCCGCCGCTCACCCTATCACCCCTTTACCACCATCTCACTTACCCCGCCACCCCATCACCCCCACCCTTGACCCCATCACTCTATATCCCATCACCACTGCCGGTCACCCCATCACCCCTTCCTCACCTCTCACCCCCGCCCTTCACCCTGTCACCCCATACCCCTCCACCCCACACCCCTTCATTCCCACCCCTTAAGCTCATCCGTCGCCCCTTTGCCCCACCCCTCCCGCATCACCCCATACCCCTTGATCCCCACCCCTTACTGCTTTGCTCCCACCCCTAACCCCCACCCCTCACCCCTTCATTCCCCCCCACCCTGCACCCTTCCCCCCGCTCCTCACCCCCCTGTACCTTTACTGCCCCCCAGCCCCTTCACCTCCATCCTTCATTCCATTGCTCTGTCCCACTTCACCCCTGTCCCCTCCCCTTCACTTTTTTGCCCCACCCTGCACCCCTCACCCCCAGTGCTCGCCTTTTCACCCCCTGCCCCTTCAACCCACCCTCCCACCTTGTCACCCCATACCCCTTCGCCCCTGCCCTCCAGCCCATGCCCCTTCCTGCCCACCCCATGCCCCTTTTTCCCCGCCCACATCCCTTCACCCCCACACCCCTCACCCTCACCGCTCGCCCCTGCACCCCTGCCCCGTACGTGCACGTGTGTGCATTGACACTGTGTGTGGAGGGCACAGCAGGCTTAGAGCAGGCGGCAGGGTCTGCGGCCCTCTGGTGGCAGAGCCATCCACGTACAGGATGCAGGTGCATGGTGAGGGGCGACCACCCAGAGGGCCGTGTGTGGGCCTCCTGCACACCCGTCGCAGCTTCGAGGGGCCCGCGGGCCCCTGCTTCTCTCCAACACACCCGTCCTTCTGCCTCTGCAGTTCCAGAACAAGCCGATGGCCATCGACAACATCATCTGTGCGCTCTTCAAGAGGACGTTTGTGCCCCGCTACCGGTAAGGGTTAGCCTTGATGCCGTGCATCTTCCGTGGGTGGCCCATGACTCAGGCCGTGACTGAACCTCAGTGTGCGTCTTCCCCGCATGTCCCCTGTGACTCAGGCCATGACTGAGCCTCAGTGTGCGTCTTCCCCGTGTGTCCCCATGACTCAGGCCGTGACCGAGCCTCAGTGTGCATCTTCCCCGCGTGTCTCCCGTGACTCGGGCCGTGACTAAGCCTCAGTGTGTGTCTTCCCCGCGTGTCCCCTGTGACACGGGCCGTGACCGAGCCTCAGTGTGCGGCTTCTCCATGTGTCCCCGTGACTCAGGCCATGACCGAACCTCAGTGTGCTTCTTCCCCGCGTGTCCCCGTGACTCAGGCCGTGACCGAACCTCAGTGTGTGTCTTCCCCGTGTGTCCCCCGTGACTCAGGCCGTGACCGAGCCTCAGTGTGTGTCTTCCCCGCGTGTCCACCATTGACTCGGTCCGTGACTGAGCCTCAGTGTGTGTCTTCCCCGCGTGTCCCCCACGACTCAGGCCGTGACTGAGCCTCAGTGTGCGCCTTCCCCGTGTGTCCCCTGTGTCTCAGGCTGTCTTAGCCTCACTCAGCATTACGCTGACACGTGCACCCCACTGTGCTGAAGACATTGCCTGCCTCTTGGGTGACAATCTCGCTTCGTTTGTCAGTGACATCAGCTCGGACATCCGTGTGATCTGTATGGGGGAACTTGGCTGCTGGATCAGGCTGTATCCAGACATGTTCCTGGACAACAACTACTTGAAGTACATCGGCTGGATGCTGTACGACAAGGTATGTGCGCCCTGCTGGTCTGCCGCCTCCACTAAGGGGGCCCACAGGTGTGTCGTGTGTCTGGTTCGTTCACGGAGCGAGCACGTGTCTCCCGGATGGTTCTCATGAGTCCAGCTTTGTGAAGGAGGCTTTCCACAAAGCAGCAGTTTTGTAGCTGTCCTCGCTGTGGGGTGACAGAGGGTTCAGGCTGTAGGGGCTCACCTGTTCCCTGGAGAAATGGGGACATGGCCCTCCTTCATGTCTGCCCTCCGGCACAGGGTTTGCATCTGGGTCCCTAGCTTAGCTAATGGGGCAGGCACACAGGGGCAGGTCAGCTGTGTGCAGTCCTAGGCTGCCCGCCCTATCCACCCTGTCCGTCTGCTGCCCGCTCTCAAACTGGGAGACACGTCCACAGTCCTGAGACTGCCTGACACAGGGAATCCTAAGCACGCGCCTGCTCCGGGTAGTAGCTCTGAATCCTGCACGTTCACATCCCCGGCAGCGCAAATGTGTGTTGGGGGACACCCGCAGCTGCCAACATTGGGCGGTGTTTCTCCTGTCACGGACGTAAACGAGCAAAAGTCAGTTCTTCTGAATAGATGCCCTCTGTGTTAGAACTAAACGTGATGAAGCCCTAAGGATTGTCTGTGACGGCCCTGCGGCTGTGTTTCATGTTTCTGGAACTGATGGTCCTGTTTTGTTCTCCTCCTCCTCTGGCCTTCCGAGCTGGGGCTCTTACCTTGTGGGGGGAAGCAGACAGGTGTGTGGGCATGTGCGCATGGGGGGGAAGCGGGCAGGCGTGGGGGGGAAGCGGGCAGCTGTGAGTGGGGTGGAAGTGGGCAGGTGTGTGGGGGGAAGCGGGCAGGTGTGCGGTGTGGGGGAAGCAGGCAGGTGTGCATGAGTAGAAGCGGGCAGGTGTGCAGTGGGGGGAAGTGGGCAGGTGTGAGTGGGTGGAAGTGGGCAGGTGGGGGGGTGGAAGTGGGCAGGTGTGCATGAGTAGAAGCGGGCAGGTGTGCCGGGGGGAAGCGGGCAAGTGTGTGGCAGGGGGAAGTGGGCAGGTGTGCGGGGGGGAAGCGGGCAGGGGTGCGGTGGGGGGGAAGCGGGCAGGTGTGCGGGGGGTGGAAGTGGGCAGGTGTGCGGCGGGAAGCGGGCATGTGTGTGGCAGGGGGAAGCGGGCAGGTATGCGGCGGGAAGCGGGCAGGTGTGCGGCGGGAAGCGGGCAGGTGTGTGGGGGGAAGCAGGCAGGTGTGGGGAGGGATCTCTGTGCGGTGCACGCACCGCTCTGTGTGCTTGTTGCAAGTGAGGCCCCAAACGAGTTTCTGCATCGTCTGTGGGTTTTCACAGCTTGGTGGCTTATTCCACGTTAGGTCGCGTGGCACGTTTGTTTCGGCGTGCTGCCGGTGATCGGTGTGCCTGGCAGGGCAGCTGTCGGTCATGTGTGGTGACCGGTCTTGGGTTGTGAGGACGGGGGTTCTTTGCTGCAGGGCAGGGGAGGGGGATTGGAATGCCGAGCCGTTGCTTAGTGTGCTGTGTGTGCCCTGTGGCGGAACACCACCAGGGGGGGCTCTCAATCTGCACAAGCTCATTGCTCTCATGGCTGGGCTCTGACGTCCCGGGCCCAGGTGCCGGCAGACGTAAGTCTGCAGAGGATTCTCTGTCCTGCTTCACGGAGGGCATCTCCTCGCCGGGTCCTCACATGGAGGAGGGGGCGAGGGGGCTCCCCAGATCTCACCCTACCCCTAACCCTTATGACCCCATCACCTCCCAGAGGCTCCGCCTCCACATACCATCCCCTTGGGGGGTTGGGACTTAACATATGGATTTTGGGGGTCACAGACACGGGTCTGGAGCAGACTTCTCTGCTTTTTATTTGTGGGGGGAGCGCAACTGGCTTAGTGCACAAATGACAAGCATAGAGACTTTCCTGGGGCCTCGGCCAAGGGAGCCCATGTGTGGAGGGAGGAGGCCGGTCAGGGCACCAGTTGTGGCCAATGTGGGGCCTGCAGAGGTCCGATGAGGGCGGCTGTTCCAGCAATGTGGGGCGTGTGGTGGCTGCCAGGATGCTCTCTGCTGCCTGGGCAGCTGGGATGCAGAGGGTGGCTTCCCTCCTGTCCCGACCCCGCTGTGCTCTGCTCTGCTCGGGGCATGGCGACAGACCTCTGGGAGGGCACTGTGACACCCTTCAGAGCCCGGGAGTGGCTGTCGGAACGTCCCCTGCAGGGACTGACCCCTGAGTGCAGAGGACGTGGGTTCTCCCTGCAGGCAGCCACCTGGTGCACCCCTGCAAGCAGGTCAGCACTGAGCAGCCTCACCCCACCTTGTGCCTCGTGTCTGGCCCTGGGCCTGTGTCCTGCTTTGGACTCTGCTTCTTTATTCCCTGAAACGATCCCTCAGGAACTCACTTGGTTTTCTGCAGAGAAGGAAGTGGGGCATAGAAAGGTTGTGTGCCTGCCCTCCACTTTGGATTTGGTGGTCCGGGTGCATGTTTCTTTTTTTTTCCTTTTCCTCTCTTTTCTTTCTTTTAAGATTTTATTTCTTTCAGAGAAAGAGAGAACGTGTGTGCACACATGAGCCGGCGGGGGGCGGGGAGGGGCGGTGCAGGGGGCAGAGGGAGAATCAGGCTGAGCAGGGAACCCAGCGAAGGGCTCAATCCCAGGACCCTGGGATCATGACCTGAGCCAAAGGCAGATGCTTCACTGACTGAACCCCCCAGGCGCCCCCTGGGTACATTTTTCTGAATCAGGGTGCTTCTGTGTTCTCACTCACACAGAGGACACTGATGCTGGGCGAGATCTCTCAGAAGATAAAACGTTGGTAACTCCATGGATACAAATGCATGTTTTCTCTGCTTAGATGAAAAATCTTGCAGGGGAGCCTGGCTGGGTCACTCAGTGGAAGGTGGGACTGTTGATCCTGGGGTCCTGAGTTCGAGCCCCATGTTGGGCATGGAGCCTTAGAAAAATAAACAAAATACAATATGGATGCCCAGGGCTGTTTTAGCTGTGGGCATTGAATTAGTCAGTTTGGGCGGCCATAAAAGACATCCCAGGCGGGGCAGCTCAAGCAACACACATTTATTCCTCCCAGTCCTGGAGGCTGGGAGTGAGATCCAATCGGGGCTGAGGCTGGGAGTGTGAGATCCAGGAGGGGCTGAGGCTGGAAGTATGAGATCCAGGAGGGGCTGGAGGCTGGGAGTCTGAGATCCAGGAGGGGCTGGAGGCTGGGAGTCTGAGATCCAGGTGGGGCTGGAGGCTGGGAGTCTGAGATCCAGGAGGGGCCGAGGCTGGAGTCTGAGGCCCAGGAGGGGCTGAGGCTGGGAGTCTGAGATCCAGGAGGGGCTGAGGCTGGGAGTCTGAGATCCAGGTGGGGCTGGAGGCTGGGAGTCTGAGGCCCAGGAGGGGCCGAGGCTGGGAGTCTGAGATCCAGGAGGGGCCGAGGCTGGGAGTCTGAGATCCAGGAGGGGCCGAGGCTGGGAGTCTGAGACCCAGGAGGGGCCGAGGCCGGGAGTCTGAGATCCAGGTGAGGGGCCGAGGCTGGTTCCTCCCGAGGCCTCTGTCCTTGGCATGTGGACCCCGTGTTCTCCCCGTGTCCTCACGTGGTCATCTCTGTGTGTGTCTGTGTCCTCATCTGCTCTTCTTGTAAGGACACAATCCTATGGGATCAGGCCCACCCCACCTCATTTTACAACTTAATCCCCTCTTTAAAGACCCCACCTCCCAATACGGCCCCATCCTGATGTCCTGGGGGCGAGGGTTTCAACATGTGAGTTTGGGATGCACAGTTCAGAGCCCAGCAGGCATGTTTCTGGACTGCGTGGGGGTTGCAAAGCTCCATGTCCCAGCTAGAATGTTCTAGGCTGAGGGCTGACCTGTGCTGTCATGGACAGAGGCATTTCTGACCGAGAGTCTGTGGTGGGGAGGCTGCCCTTCCATGGTAACCGGACCCCGTTTCTCTGTCCTGAAGGACGCGAGTGTGCGGATGAAGTGCATCCTGGCACTGAAGGCACTCTACGAGAAAAGAGAGTCAGCTATGAAGTTGGGCCTTTTCTTCTATAAGTTCAAGGTGAGTGAGATTTTGCGTCTCGCTGCTGCACCCCCCATGGCCGGTCCCCGGTGTCCATGTCCCCAAGCATCTCGGGGGATGTGTGGAAGTGGGGCCGTGTCCAGCAGCCGCTGGCTGGCCTAGAGTGCCGGCCACATCTCAGCCCAGTGCTCAGGGCTGTTGTCCTGCAGAAGAGGAACTGGGAGCTTCTCTGGGTGTCCAAGCCCAGGGCCCAGCTGCCCGTGCTTCACGGCCCACCAGGTGACGTGGACCCCGGCAGCAGGGTGCTGTGTGTGCAGGGCTGAGGTTGGAGCCTGTGCACACCCCCAGTGGGCCAGTGGGAGTGCTGACCTCTAACTTGTGGTGCGGAAGCTGGCAGGGTCAGCACCGCTGACCTGATGGAGGAGCAGCTGATGCAGTTAGTCTCCAGGGTCCCCTCGCAGAGGTTCAGAGCTGCTCCGGACTGTGGGTCAGTAGTCAGCTGCACGGGACAGTGCAGGGGTGCAGCCCATGGTGCATTGGTACCAGCTTGTTCCTGAGTTCGGGGGCCACGCCGTCACCCAGGACACTGTCACGAGACCCCACTGCCCATTCTGGAGGACTCCCAACCGTTGCTCAGTCGAGGACTCCAACCCGGGACCCGTGGCTAGGGGGGAGTAGGGGTCGGGCCACAGAGGTGCCCAGTGAACATGGAGGGCCAGCCTGTGTGGCAGGGGCCACCCGATGGGGGTCATCTCATCCTTGGAGGTGTGGGGGAGAACCCAGCGTTCCTTGACCGTGTCAGGGTCCCCAGCGGGGTTGAGCAGGAAACCAGTGAGGCCGGACAACCAGGAGCCACGCGTGCCCATGTATTTATAGAAGTCTTCCCTGACCCGGGAGCATTCCCAGGACGCGGAGACCCCCAGAAGAGTGATTTCACACCTGAGGAAGAGTGGGAACCGGGGAAAGACGAGAACACAATCCGCTGCACTGTCTGGGAGCTCAGGATGTGCCTTTCCTCCAGGTGCAGGGAGGCCCCCGCCCATGAGGGCAAGGGGCTGTTGCAGATGGCCCTCCCATACCTCCTGCCGTTTCTCGACCCTTGCACCCTGGAACACCACACCGTGCAAGGGGCCGAGCTGGGGGCAGCATGCCCTGGGCCCTGTCAGGGCGCGGTTGTGTCCAGGGGGGCAGAAGCTTCCGGTCCTGGTTTTGTGACCCTGTGAGATGATGAGTGGCAGTGTTTGGGGATGGGGTGCCACATCTGGCAGGTCTGGGGACAGGGTCTCACGTCAGGCGGCTCTGGGGACGACTGTGTGCCCTGCCCTGTGGTCCCGACTTCCACGTGGCGATTCCCACTGTCTCTGGGAAAAGTAAAGTCCACATGTAGAGAGGAGTGAGTGGAGGTTGATAGCCCAGTGCGGACACCCCAGTGTCCACGGGGGCATGGAGGGCCTCCTGGAGGTGGTGGTGAATCCCCACGGAGGAGGACGGTGTGGTGCCCACCCCGTGTGCCAGCCAGCCGGGACCCATGGCCCATTTCTGGGGATAGAGGTTGTGCAGAGTCGTCCACCATCCCTCGTAGGAAAGAAGCACTATGTAGGCTTGTCCTCTGGATGGGCACACGTTGTGTGGAGCTCACACCCCCAGACCGGCAGGGATGCGGACCATGGTCTTCCGGGCGACTATGCTTGGCCAGTAGCGCTGGTGGAGGTGGCCTCAGGGTGCTTCCCTGAAGCCCCAAGGATCCCAGGCTTCTGCTTCCAGTTTCTGCACAATTCCCTCTCATGGTCCATCTGCACCAGCAGTGACAGCTGGGGACACTAGAAAAGTCTGGGGACGCTTGGGTGCTAGCGCCTGTCGGGGGGTGGTACTGCCATCTGAGGGCACCAACGACGTAGCTGGATGCCCCATCCCACGAGGGGACGACCCAGCCCCACATCCTCGGTACTGCTGCGGGGAGAGAACAGAGGCGGGGCTGTAAGTCTAGGGGGCGTGGGGAGCCGGCCGTGCGGTGGGGGCGGGAGAGGACGCTGCTGGTGTCGTGCGCGTCAGCCTGGGTCCTCACCGCCCCGGCCTCGGGGGTGATTGGTGCCAGGCTGCCAGTCGGCTGCTGATGTGGGTGTGCCTCCGATGGGGCAGTCCGTCCTGTGAGGCGGTGGGGGGGGGGGGGGGGGGGGCGGGGCGCGGTGCCCTGTGTCACGCAGACGGTGCTGGAACGAAGCCTGTTCATTTTGTGGTCTTCCTTCCGTAGAAACGAATCCTGTCAATGACGCAGGACAGGCAGCCGGAAATCACATCCGAGTGCATGCAGCTCCTGAGGCTCATATCCGAGTAAGTCGCCGTGCCCGTGCCGCGCGCTTCCCCGCTGGTGGTCGCCGTGCCCGTGCCGCGTGCTTCCCCGCTGGAGGTCGCCGTGCCCGTGCCGCGCGTTCGCCGGCTGTAGGTACTAATGCCCGTGCCGCACTTCCCCGCTGGAGGTCCCTGCGCCCATGCCGCGTGCTCGCTAGCGGGAGGTCCCCGCGCCTGTGCCGTGCGCTTCCCCGCTGGCGGTCCCCTTGCCCGTGCCGTGTGCTTCCCTGCTGGAGGTCCCCATGCCCGTGCCATGCGCTTCCCCGCTGGAGGTCCCCGTGCTTATGCAGCGCGCCTGCTGGTTGGAGGTCGCCGTGCCCGTGCCGTGCATTTGCTGGCGGGAGGTCCCCGTGCCCATGCCGCACGCTCGCTGGCTGTAAGTACTCACACCTGTGCGGCGTGCTCGCTGGCGGGAGGTCCCCGTGCCCATGCCGCACGCTCGCTGGCTGTAAGTACTCACACCTGTGCGGCGTGCTCGCTGGCGGGAGGTCCCCGTGCCCGTGCCGCGGGCCCACCGGGTGTAAGTACTCACGCCCATGCATGCGTCCGCTGGCTGGGGGCAGGAGGGGGCGTGCAGCCACCACGCGTGATGGAGGCGGACAGTGGGGATGTGTGGTCATGCGGGCAAAGGCTGGTGTTCGGCTAAGTAAGACACGCCAAGCGTCCACTCTGGGCTTGCACTCCTGCCGGGTTTCAGAACTCTGCCACCAACATCCTTGCTCGCGATCCACCGCAGGGGCTTGTTGGGTTGCCTGAGAGGTCCTGGCGCTCAGGGCTTTGGGGGTTCTCTCTGGGGTCCTGGCCCCTCCTCTCCACTGCTGGCCCTGTGTCAGGGCTCCGAGGGGCTGGTGTCAGGGGGTGGCTACGATTGGCTGGGCCTGCAGAACGTTCTGGAAGCTCCAGGGTCCCAGTAGCACTTAGGCTGGGACGTGGGGCTCTTGTTCCCCTGGACGTGCCCTGTGCAGGATGCAGCCTCCTTGCTCAGTGAGTCAGGTGTCAGACATTGACGTGAGGCGGTGCTGGAACAGGGGACACGGGGACACGACCTCCGACTCGGCCCCTGTGTGTAGACACTGGGGAGGGTGCTGTGGGGACGTCTTGTACCCCAAAGGCTGGGTGCCTCCTCGTGGTGCCATCTGTCTGCCCCATGCTGGGGACAGAGCAGGCCCAGGTGGGCGTTGGACCGTCTTACGGCTCTGCATCTGGCGCAGCCCAGATGGACACTGTCGCAGCTGGGGTCCAGGCTCCGGGCTTCGTCCGTGCTGTGTTGCGGTCCCGTGAGTGGCCGGTGCTGCTGCAGCTGGCCCGATGCCCACACCCAGGAGCAGTGGGTGGGTGATAACTTGACGTATTATAAAATGGAGCCATCTGGACAGAGCAGAGTGCACACGGGCACCGCAACCCGGGTTGGGGACTGGGTGTGGGAATGCGTGTCTGCTGGGGCCTTGCTGCCCACCACTGTCCCAAGCACAGTGCAGGCTGCACTCGCGGCCGTGAGCCCACCGACAGCAACACAGAGAAGCTCTTACCTGTGTGGCTCCTGACACATGAGTACAAGACACCTGGCAGGGATGTGAGGTCCCCATCTAGTCCTCCAGCTGCTGCCCCCTGCAGACCCCAGGATGCACCTGGAGTTGGTGGCAGGAGGGAGCGTGCGCACACGTGGAGCGAGAAGGTGCTGGAAGAACCGGATGGAGGATTTGGGTCCTGGGCCGCAGGGTCGCCGTGGATGTGGTGGTGCTACCACAGGGTGTCTCACGCCCACGCGGAGTCTCTGCTGTGCTCAGACCGCGTTCTGAGGTGGCTTCGCTCTTGTCTCACGTGCCTGGGCTCTGAGTGGCCCTGTCTGAGGTCTGTGCCCTGCAGATGCTGTGTCCTTCAGGGGCGCTGTGGGCCTGGCTGTGGGGGGCCCCTCCAGCCTGGGGTCGTGGCCTCTGCCTCCTGCCCTGTGCAGGCTGGGTGGCCCAGGGTAGCTGCTTGTCCTGCTCGCTGGTGTTCCCATGGCCGCTGTGTCCGTCGGGGCCCTCCGGAGAGACGGAGCCAACAGGAGGCATGTGGACATGTGCATCTAGAAGCAGGCCCGTTATGGGCATTGGCTGAGGGTAACAGAGGTGGGGACGTCCCAGGACGTGTGTCTGCGAGCTGGCTGTAGCCCATGGTGAGGCTCATGGGCGGCCGAGCGGATGGGCCTGGACCGTGGCAGGTGGCCGTGGGCACGTGGAGCAGGCTCCTTGGCTTAAGCTGTCCAGCGCGTGAGTGGCTCCCTCCCATCGCTGAGGGTCTGAGACGGGTCGGAGGTCGGCAGCTGCCCACGTCTGTAAGGAAGTGACAACAGTGGAAGCCTTGTGTCAATCTGACTGCTCACAGTGGGGGCGGGGCGCAGCTTACCTGTGATTCCGCAAAGTCCGTGAGGAGTTCTCTGCATAGATTCACATGCGGGCCCAGCAGATCGTCCTGCCTGGTGTGGTGGGCCCTATCTAATCCGTTGAAGGCCTATGTGACACGAGGGGGAGGAAGTGTGTGTTCGCCGGGCTAACCCTAACCCATCCCCTTGGCCATCCTGCTCCCACGCCTTCCGGCTACACCTCTGCCAGCACCTCGTGGGCCTTGTGCAGCAAAGCGCCAGGTCCTGGGGCCACACCTTGGCCTGAGTCCCCAGGTGGGCTCAGAACCATGTGGCTTTGGGGCTTGAGGCTTGGACAGGGCTGACGTGGACCTGCCGAACACGCTCCTTGCTGTGTGCAGTGCCCGAGGGTGAATGCAGGTGTTCCACTCACTTGTCTGGGGCCTCCCCACGTCCTTGGGGGTCTCCCACCTTCATTCGAACCCCAGGCACTGTGGCATGTAGGCCGCCTGCCCTGGTTTCTGCTGGTTTTGGGAATGCCCACGTGGCCATGTTGGCAGATTGCTCCACTGTGATGTGGTGAATGCTGTGTCACACGTGGGTTCAGTGGATGCATTTGGACAAAGGGTCTCACGCTGGTGATGTCCCCCCACATGCTGTCAGTGGTGTCCCTCACCCAAATCCCCCAAACGCTCCCACCATGGGTGCCCGTGGACATCTGCTGCCCCTCCGTGTGTGCCCCTGCGTGGCCACCTGCTCGGAGTCAGGAGCACCGCTCCTGGGGGTGGAGGGTTGGGCAGAGTTGGGCTGACAGGTGCCCCAGGTGCACACGCGGGAGAGGACAGAGTGCTTTTCCCTTAATTTGGAGCTCACAGGTGGCTAGAGGGGAAGGAACCAACTCTAACGCCGGAGGTGCTGTAGAGGGCAGGCCTTCCTGGGATCCTGCTCACCTGGCCTCAGCTCACGTGGCATCTTCTCATGTGGCCTCAGCTCACATCCTGGGTTGTAGGCTGCCCTGGGTGAGCTCAGACTGGTCGGAATCCCAGATTAGGCCACATCTAGGGGAAGCCGAGGTTGGGGCCATTGGCCCAACAGAGAACCTCAGTTTGCTCTTGGGGACAGGCGTGTGTGGCAAAGCCCCCTGTGCACAGTTCTATGTGGCAAAGCCCCGTGTGCACAGGTGTGTGTGGCAAAGCCCCGTGTGCACAGATCCGTGTGGCAAAGCCCCGTGTGCACAGGTGTGTGTGGCAAGCACAGATCCGTGTGGCAAAGCCCCGTGTGCACAGGTGTGTGTGGCAAAGCCCCGTGTGCACAGATCCGTGTGGCAAAGCCCCGTGTGCACAGGTCCGTGTGGCAAAGTCCCGTGCGCAGGGGCCCTGGGCTCACGAGTGTCCCCCCCCAGGCACTACGTGGGCGTGTTCTCCGCCATGGAGTATGTCTTCCTGTTCCAGTTTGTGTACGCGGCCTACAGGCCCATGGCCACAGCCGCGGGCGAGCTCATCTGTAAGAGGTAAGGTGGGTGCCTGGCCACCCTGGGGCCTCTGATGGGGTCTCCAGGGCTGTGATGTCACTGTGATGTTAGAGGTGGGGTCCCATGTCCCGTGTCCCACATCCCACCAGCTGCAGATGTGCACATGGAGGGTGGGGGGCGGGAGGAGGCCCCAGGACCCCCAAGAATGGCAGGGCACGTGACCAGGGGGTTGGCAGGTGTTGGGCCCTGAGGGACAGAACAGGATGGACATGAGCGCTACCTAAGGCCCTCTGAGGTCCTCTGAAGCCCCCTGAGATCCTCTGAGTGCCCTGAAGCCTCCTGCCTCTGAAGCCCCCTGTCCCTGAGGCCCCCTGAGGGTCTCCTGAGGGCCCCTGAGGCCCCATGAAGCCCCCTGCTCCTGAGGTCCCTGAGGTCCCCTGAGGCCCTCTGAGGTCCTCTGAAGCCCCCTGAGATCCTCTGAAGTCCCATGTCCCTGAGGCCCTCTGATGTCCCTGAGCCCCCCCCTGAGGCCCCCTGAGGGTCTCCTGAGGGCCCCTGAGGCCCCCTTGAAGCCCTCTGCTCCTGAGGGCCCCTCCTGGGCCATCTGGCTGTCTTGCCCTCACGAACGTCCGGGTAAAGTTCCCCATTCTCGGCTTCTCTGGGGGTTTGAGGTGCAGCGACTGGGGACAGTCTGGTGGTTGGTTCCCTCTGCAGTGCTGGCCCGGGCTGACAGTCAGCTCGGACAGACAGAAGTCAGTTCTAGAACTTTCCTCCGCGGTCTGTGTCGTGCCCCCATGGCTTCCTGGTATTCCTGCTCCCCGGGTCTCTGTGTGGTGAGTGTGTGCAGACATGCGTGCTGGAGTGCGGGTCGGCCCAGCCCCACAGGACCTGGGAGCCCAGCCAGGTGCACGGGCCCCCCCACCCCCCAGGCCAACGTCGGGGTCACTTTCTCTGATCTCCCTAGGCTCCTGGCCCCTCCGCCCCATGAAGGTTTCTTTGGTCAAGAGCCCCCTGATGAGTTTGATAGAAATCTCCAGAACATGAAGACACTTATCGACTTCTACCTGCAAGGCGAGGTGAGGGCGTGGCCGTGTGGGGTCCGGGGACAGGATGTCCGGGCCACGTGAGGGACCTGGACCCGTGTCCCGTGCCCTGCACCCCATGCTCCATGCCATGTGCTGTGGCCCATGCCCGCATCCCACGTTGGGTGGAAAGGGGCTCGGTCGCTGTGTACACAACACTGGCTATGGGCACGTGGGAGTCACGTCTCCGGGTTGGTGTTTTCATGTGTCTTTACGTGTCCACACATGGGAGGGTTGGGAAGGGGGCCCTCCCTGCCTGTGCCATTACCTGACCTCCCCGCCCCATGTCGTCATCCCATGTCCTCTCCGCCCTGTGTCATCGCCGTGTCCTGTCCGCCCTGTGTCGTCGTCCCGTGCCCTCCCTGCCCCGTGTCGTGGTCCCGTGTCTTCCCCGTCCCGTGTCATCACGTGTCCTTTCTCCTTCTTACCTCACATGTCCGGCACGTCCCTGTCAGTTCCACAGACATGTCCCGTACCTGGTGGACGGCCTGTGGGAGGCAGCGCCCGCCCTGGTCCGGAACTGGGAGTGCATGACGGCCCTGCTGCTGGAGCCACGTGGCGGGCGCCAAGGTGAGCGTGGCCAGAAGCCTGCTCTGAGTCGGGGACCAGGGCCGTGATCCTGCTGGCCTCCCTGCCGTGCTGCCAGGCCCACCATCCCCCACCCCGTGTCCCGCTGTTCCCCCCTTCCTCCCATCCCCCCGTGGTCCCCCCATGTCCTGCCATCCTCCCCATGTCTCGCTGTCCTCCCTGTGTCCTGCCATCTCCCTGTGTCCTGCTGTCCCTTTGTGTCCTACCATCCCCATTTCCCCCCATGTCCTGCCATACCCGTGTCCCACTGTCCCCGTGTCCCGCTGTCCCCATGTCCCACTGTCCCCGTGTCCCACTGTCCCCGTGTCCCGCTGTCCCCGTATCCCACTGTCCCCGTGTCCCCCCGTGTCCCACTGTCCCCATCTCCCATATGTCCCACTGTCCCCATGTCCCACTGTCCCCGTGTCCCACTGTCCCCGTGTCCCACTGTCCCCGTGTCCCGCTGTGCTGTCCCATGTCCCACTGTCCCCGTGTCCCGCTGTCCCGTGTCCCGCTGTCCCATGTCCCCCACTGTCCCCGTGTCCCACTGTCCCCGTGTCCCACTGTCCCCGTGTCCCGCTGTCCCCCCATGTCCCACTGTCCCCGTGTCCTGTCCCCACGTGTCCAACTGTTCCCCGTGTCCCACTGTCCCCATCTCCCATGTCCCACTGTCCCCGTGTCCCACTGTCCCCGTGTCCCGCTGTCCCCACTGTCTCCGTGTCCCACTGTCCCCGTGTCCCGCTGTCCCCATGTCTCACTGTCGTCCCCGTGTCCCACTGTCCCCGTGTCCCGCTGTCCCCATGTCTCACTGTCCCCGTGTCCCGCTGTCCCGTGTCCCGCTGTCCCATGTCCTGTCCCACTGTCCCCGTGTCCCACTGTCCCCGTGTCCCACTGTCCCCATCCCCCGTGTCCCACTGTCCCCGTGTCCTGTCCCCACGTGTCCCACTGTCCCCGTGTCCCGCTGTCCCCATCCCGTGTCCCACTGTCCCCGTGTCCCACTGTCCCCGTGTCCCGCTGTCCCATGTCCCGCTGTCCCATGTCCCACTGTCCCCGTGTCCCGCTGTCCCCGTGTCCCACTGTCCCCGTGTCCCACTGTCCCCATCTCCCATGTCCCACTGTCCCCATGTGCCACTGTCCCCGTGTCCCGCTGTCCCATGTCCCGCTGTCCCGTGTCCCGCTGTCCCATGTCTCACTGTCCCCGTGTCCCGCTGTCCCGTGTCCCGCTGTCCCATGTCCCACTGTCCCCGTGTCCCACTGTCTCCGTGTCCCACTGTCCCCGTGTCCCGCTGTCCCCCATGTCTCACTGTCCCCGTGTCCCGCTGTCCCGTGTCCCGCTGTCCCATGTCCCACTGTCCCGTGTCCCACTGTCCCCGTGTCCCACTGTCCCCGTGTCCCATTGTCCCCATCTCCCATGTCCCACTGTCCCCATGTCCCACTGTCCCCATGTCCCACTGTCCCCGTGTCCCACTGTCCCCGTGTCCCGCTGTCCCCATCCCGTGTCCCACTGTCCCCGTGTCCCGCTGTCCCCGTGTCCCGCTGTCCCCGTGTCCCGCTGTCCCCATCCCGTGTCCCACTGTCCCCGTGTCCCACTGTCCCCGTGTCCCACTGTCCCCGTGTCCCACTGTCCCCGTGTCCCGCTGTCCCCATCCCCCGTGTCCCACTGTCCCCGTGTCCTGTCCCCACGTGTCCAACTGTCCCC